TTCAAGTTAACTCAGTCATCACAGAAATGAGCTCAAACTTCAGTAGAGAAAGCAGCAGCAGAGGCTGATCGAATACAACTATGGTGTATTTCAAAGAACGATGCATGATAAAGACCAACTTCAAAATGCAGATCAGCTCATGCCTTAATTAATGATGGGACACGTACATTTATCTGTGTTAAATTCTTAATTGCAAAAGCAGTTTTTGTCATTAGCAGCCAGACTTTGTTTCCATCCAGGCGTGTTAAAGATGCATCCGAAGGGTATCGTTGCATTCCTTTTTAATTATTCATTATTTTCTCTCTGTGCTCACTGTTAGATATTTTAATGTATTACTGTCTTAAATGTTCCTCTTTCAGTAATCATATGTTAAGAAGAAATCCAAAGAGTTCTTTCTCCTTTCCTCATAGCTGTGGACTACGACTGATAAGCCCTGATGTTTGTCTGCATGGGGGTTGGAGAGTAGCCTGCCTAAGGCTTGGTTTATGCTTGACACATTTACATTCCGCTTGGTGATGCAGCTCGCAGATGAAATGTGCTTCACAACTTGCAGCGTTTATGGTTGTCTCTGCGGTGACCCAATATTTTCCCAAACTGAACGGGGCAGCATGGAGCTCTACAGCATGCATCCAACACTACACCATAATAGAAGTAAAAATTACTGTTTACAACATGGTATTCCTCCTTGAACCGTCACCTTATCGTGGTGGAGGAGTTTGAGTGCCCTAATGATCCTAGGAGCTATGTTGTCTGGGGCACTTAGTGCCCCTGGTAGGGTCTCCCATGACAAATTGGTCTTAGGTGAAGGGTGAGACAAAGAACGGTTCGAAGGATCTTTCATGGCGGTTAAAACGAAGAGTCGGAGTACCCGGCCCGGAGGGTTACCGGGGTCCCACCCTGGAGCCAGGCCTGGGGTTGGGGCCCGTGAGCGAGCGCCTGGTGGCCGGGCTTTCGCCCATGGGGCCCGGCCGGGCCCAGCCCGAACCGGATACATGGGCTCGTCCAACTGTGGACCCACCACCCGCAGGAGGAACATGAAGGGTCCGGTGCAATGCGAATCGGGTGGCAGACCAAGGCGGGAGCCTTGGCGGTCCAATCCCTGGACAAGAAAACTAGTTTTTGGGACATGGAACGTCACCTCGCTGGCGGGGAAGGAGCCGGAGCTTGTGGCAGAGGTTGAGCGGTACCGGCTAGATATAGTCGGACTCACCTCGACACATTGCATTGGCTCTGGAACCCGAGACCTGGAGAGGGGTTGGACACTCTACTTTGCTGGAGTTGCTCCGGGTGAGAGGCGGAGGGCTGGGGTTGGCTTTTTGTTAGCCCCGAGACTCTCTGCCTGTGTGTTGGGGTTTACCCCGGGGGACAAGAGGGTAGCTTCCTTGCGCCTTCGGGTCGGGGAACGGGTCCTGACTGTTGTTTGTGCCTATGGGCCAAATATCAGTTCAGAGTACCCACCCTTTTTGGGGTCCCTGGGACGAGCGCTAGATAGTGCTCCATCAGGGGACTCCATTGTCCTGCTGGGGGACTTCAATGCTCACGTGGGCAATGACAGCTTGACCTGGAGGGGTGTGATTGGGAGGAACGGCCCACCTAATCAGAACTCGAGCGGTGTTTTGTTATTGGACTTCTGTGCAAGCCGCAGTTTGGCCATAACGAACACCATGTTCGAACATAAGGATGCCCACCGGTACACTTGGTACCAGGGCAGCCTAGGTCACAGGTCGATGATAGATTTTGTAGTCGTATCATCTGACCTGCGGCCGTATGTTTTGGACACCCGAGTGAAGAGAGGGGCGGAGCTGTCAACTGATCACCACCTGGTGGTGAGTTGGATCAGATGGCAAGGGAACATGCCGCGTAGACCTGGCAGACCCAAATGCATAGTGAGGGTCTGCTGGGAACGCCTGGCAGAAGAACCTGTCAAGACGGTCTTCAACTCCCACCTCCGGCAGAGCTTTGACCACGTCCCGAGAGCAGTGGGGGACATTGAGTCCGAGTGGGCCTTGTTCCACTCTGCGATTGTCGAGGCGGCTGTTGCTAGCTGTGGTCGTAAGGTGGCCGGTGCCAGTCGTGGTGGCAACCCCCGTACCCGCTGGTGGACACCAGAGGTTCGGGGAGCCGTCAGGCTGAAGAAGGAGGCCTACAGGGCGTGGCTGGTCTGTGGGTCTCCGGAGGCAGCAGACAGGTACCGGATAGCCAAGCGGGGTGCAGCAGTGGCAGTTGCCGAGGCAAAATCTCGGGCGTGGGAGGAGTTTGGTGAGGCCATGGAGAAAGACTATCGATCGGCTCCAAAGTGGTTCTGGCAAACTGTCCAGCGCCTCAGGAGAGGAAGGCAGCAACTCGCTCACACTGTTTACAGTGGGGATGGGGAGCTGCTGACGTCAACTGAGGCTATAGTCGGACGGTGGAAGGAATACTTTGAGGAGCTCCTCAATCCCACCAATGCGCATTCCGAGGAGGAACCAGAGCTGGGAGGCCTGGGGATGGACTGTCCGATCTCGGGGGCAGAAGTTGCTGAGGTAGTCAAACAACTACACAGCGGCGGAGCCCCAGGGGCGGATGAGGTTCGTCCTGGGTATCTAGAGGCTATGGATGTTGTAGGGCTGTCATGGTTGACACGTCTCTAAAACATTGCGTGGTCATCGGGGGCAGTTCCTAGGGAGTGGCAGACCGGGGTGGTGGTCCCCATCTTTAAGAAGGGTGACCTGAGGGTGTGTTCCAACTATAGGGGGATCACACTCCTCAGCCTCCCTGGAAAGGTCTACTCCAAGGTACTGGAGAGGAGGGTCGAAATCGATAGTTGAATCTCAGATAGAGGAGGAGCAATGTGGTTTTCGTCCTGGCCGTGGAACTGTGGACCAGCTCTATACCCTTGCAAGGGTGATGGAGGGGGCATGGGAGTTTGCCCAACCAATCCACATGTGCTTTGTGGATTTGGAGAAGGCTTATGACCGTGTCCCCAGGGGCACCCTGTGGGGGACGCTCCAGGAGTATGGGGTGGGTGGCTTTCTGTTAAGGGCCATTCAGTCCCTTTACCAGAGGAGCGTGAGTTTGGTCCGCATAGCCGGTAGTAAGTCGGACCTGTTCCCAGTGAGGGTTGGACTCCACCAGGGCTGCCCTTTGTCACCGGTTCTGTTCATCACTTTTATGGACAGAATTTCTAGACGCAGCCGTGGTGTGGAGTGTGTCGAGTTTGGTGGCAGGAGAATCTCGTCTCTGCTTTTTGCGGATGATGTGGTCCTCCTAGCTTCATCCAGCTCTGACCTTCAGCTCTTGCTGGGTAGGTTTGCGGCCGAATGTGAAGCGGCTGGGATGAGGATCAGCACCTCCAAATCTGAGACCATGGTTCTCGACCGGAAAAGGGTGGCTTGCCACCTCCGGGTCGGGGGAGAGGTCCTACCTCAAGTGGAGGAGTTTAAGTATCTCGGGGTCTTGTTCACGAGTGAGGGTAGGAGGGATCGGGAGATCGACAGGCGGATTGGTTCGGCGTCTGCAGTGATGCGGACGCTGTGCCGATCTGTCGTTGGGAAGAGGGAGCTGAGCCAGAAAGCCAGGCTCTCGATTTACCGGTCGATCTACGTCCCAATCCTCACCTATGGTCATGAGCTTTGGGTAATGACCGAAAGAACGAGATCGCGGATACAAGCGGCCGAAATGAGTTTCCTCCGTAGGGTGGCCGGGCTCAGCCTTAGAGATAGGGTGAGGAGCTCGGACATTCGGGAGGGACTCGGAGTAGAACCGCTGCTCCTCCGGATTGAAAGGAGCCAGTTGAGGTGGTTTGGGCATCTGGTCAGGATGCCTCCTGGACGCCTCCCCGGGGAGGTGTTTCGGGCATGTCCTGCCGGCAGAAGACCCCCGGGTTGACCCAGGACACGTTGGAGAGGTTACATCTCCAATCTGGTCCGGGAACGCCTTGGGGTCCTGCCGGAGGAGCTGGTGGACAAGGCCGGGGAGAGGACGGCCTGGAGCTCCCTAGTTGGGATGCTGCCCCCGCGACCCGGACCCGGATAAGCGGAGGAAGACGAAGACGAAGACGAACATGGTATTCCAGCATTTTGTAACAGCGTCCTCGTCTTTTCCGAGCTATTTCTCTCCAAGAATTATTAACAACATGTTGATCACGGTGATCTTTGAGAGCTGAATCATACAAATGTCTATGTTTACAAACCTCTGCCATCACTAGTTCTTGCCAGTCCGCCATGTTTTTCCGCGTTCGACCGTCCGCGTGGTTAGAAAATTTCCTAGGTGTGCGGTGCGGAAAGTTTGGGCCGTGCTGAGGCGCGGTGGAGGGGCGTGGTTGTTAAAATGACGCAATTTTGCCGCGTGGAGCCGTGCGAGCCTTGCGGACGCGTCAAGCATAAACCAACCTTGACAGGTATCCCTGGTTACTGAGTTTCTGGCTGTCAGTCATAAATTAAGACTTCCTTTGGGAGGGCTCTGCTTGGCAACAGGAAAAGCTAGCAGGCTGAATGGGTCACCCCTGTAACTTGAGACTTCCTTTTTAGAAGGTCCCGCCTTAGATAGAAGCAACAGTGTTCATTGGTTAAGTGTGACAGTGATGTATAGTCCTTTGTTTCTGCCTGTCTGTGTTTCAATAAAACCAAGCTGTGGTAGAGAGGGAGGCCAGAGTAAATCGGACAGAGGCCTGGGACAGGCTTTTGGCTGGTTGCTCTCCGCTGTCTCCTCACATTATTAAAAACCTACTGACTTCCTCTCCTGTGTGGTTTCATTTCAGGGTTCATTTCAGGGTTAAGTTTCAGGATTTAAAAATACCCAACACTCACTGGAGAATGAAGAAATACATCAGCTTTATTTAGTACCTCATTAAAGTAACAAGCTTTTGTTGGGATTTTCTAAATCGTTAAAAGTGCACCTAATACTTGATTTTTTTTTATTTTGTAATACCTGAAAACATTTCTTACAGACAGGCTCTTTGTTTCTATGATTTATAAAAAAAAAAGTGCTGGTGATGGCATGTAATTTCTTTTTTCCCCCAGATCCTGACCCAAACCACTCCCTCGGGATGTCTGTCAACAACTGCTCTTTCGATCTAATAGCTGGGAAAGAAGAGTGGCATTGTCCTCCAGAGGAAATCTGTGTCAACATGACTTCTGGCATGAACGGAAATCTACTTGATGCATGTCTGACAGAGGAAGGATACCTAGAAAAGTATCTGGGACCCCGCCGATCACCCATTTTCCTCCCCGTCTGCCTCGTCTATCTGGTCATCTTCTTGGTTGGCGTCGTGGGGAATGTGCTGACGTGTACAGTCATTGTACGCAACAAGGTCATGTGGACGCCAACGAACTACTACTTGTTCAGCTTGGCAGTGTCAGACCTGCTGGTGCTGCTGCTTGGCATGCCACTGGAGCTGTATGAACTGTGGCAGAACTATCCCTTTCTCCTGGGAAAGGGAGGCTGCTACTTCAAAACCTTCTTATTCGAGACGGTCTGCTTGGCGTCAATCCTCAACATTACTGCACTGAGCATCGAACGTTACATTGCTGTGGTGCACCCACTTCGTGCAAAGTACGTCGTGACTCGGACCCATGCCAAACGGGTAATCCTGACCGTGTGGTGTGTGTCAGTGTTGTGCGCGGTGCCCAACACAAGTTTGCATGGAGTCCTGATCATTCATGTTCGCTCCACTGGCCCTGCTGGAGTCGTCAACCAGGAGATCCCAGACTCAGCCATCTGCACGCTGGTGAAGCCACGATGGATGTACAACCTGACCATCCAGCTGACCACCTTTTTGTTTTTTATCCTTCCCATGGCCACTATCAGTGTTCTCTACATGCTGATCGGGGTGCAACTTAAGCGTGAAAAGATGAGGCAGGCACTAGAGGCCAAGTCTGGGTTTGGAAAGGACAGTTTCTGTAATATCCGCACGCAGCAGCAGAAGGCACGTCGGCGGCAGGTCACAAAGATGTTGTGTGAGTATGAATAACATGCCTACAAAATTAAAATCATGGAAACTGTTCTGTTTCTTTCACATTTTGTGTCAGCTGATTCTACCTGCAGTAGAAATAGGGAAGAGCAACCTCAGTTAGTCAGATCATGGCAGAGTCTAATTAACTCTTTTGCATAAATCAACTCAAATCTATTAAGTAAGTAAATTTTATATAGCACTCATCACAGAAAGAGAATCACAAAGTACTTCTCAACAAAACAAATCAGAAAGTCATCAAATACTCTTCTAAAAGAATCAGAAAAGATATTCACATCAGAAAAAAATAATCATGAAATTGTAAAATTATCATAAGTATCATAAAACTAATGGAAGTAAATCTGAGTTTTAAAAAAGAGAAAACCACAAAAAATTTTGTTAAAAGCAGCTTTAAATGAAAGGGTCTTCAGCTGTTTTTTGAAGGTATCCAGATTGTCAATGCTACGTAAGGATAAAGGAATATCATTCCAGAGTCGGGGTACAACAGTCTGGAAGGAGCAATCACGTTGACTTTTGTATCTGGTCTTTGGAACTTCTAGAAGGTTCAGGTTTGTGGACCTGAGGGCTCGGGTTGGAGCATAAGGCTTTAACAGTTCAGTAATATAGGGAGGAGCTTGAACATGTAGAGCCCTGAAAGTTATGGTCAGGATTCTAAAATGAACTCTAAAGTTAACGGGTAACCAGTGCCAAGGCATTAGAATAGGAGTGATGTGAGCGCTTAAGTTTGTTCCTGTTAGGAGCCTTGCTGCAGAGCTCTGGACCAACTGGAGGCGATCAAGGGCATTTTGCTAAAACATGTGAAAAGTGTGTTACAGTAATCTATATGAGAGCAGATAAAGGCATGGATAACTATTTCAAGTTCATGTTTTGACACCAACCTTCACAGTTTGGAGATATTTCTCAAATTATAAAAACCGTGTTTGAGTGGCCTTCTAGACATTGATTGGTCAAAAAATAAGACAAGGCAAGAAAATGCAGCATTTTTTATATGGCACATTTCATTCACAGTGGCAATTCAATGGGATTTCTAATTAACAAGATTATAACACCCAAATTCAAGTTTAACTTGACGGCAGAAGTTAAATGACCATGTTGTTGCCTAATCAGGTGAACTGTGCTCTCATGGGCAATGATCAGACATTCAGTTTTTTCAGAGTTTAACGAAAGGATTTTATCTCCTAGCCAGCTGGTGATAACTGATAAACACATATTCAATTCCAGGCCTGGATGGTCGGTATCCACCACGTTTTAGGGGTGTCTCTGCTCCAACATGTTTGATTCAGTGGTTGAATCACCCATGCAGCAGCTCATTAGACTCTGCAGAAGACTGTTAATTACCTGCTGATTGAAACCAGGTGTGTGGAAACAGAGTTAAAACTAACATGGGCTTGACACCAGCCCTCCAGGCCCAGAATTGAATATCCCTGCTCTAATAGTACAGTTTATAGAACCTAGCAGCACAGTTGAATATCTGCATATAGGTGATAGGAGACATTACAAAAACCATCAATTATCTTTCCGAGAGGGTCTATAAATAGTAAAAACAGGAGAGGACCCAAAACAGAGCACTGAGGTACCCCACAGAACAGATTGTTAGAATCTGACATGATTTAGTATTCAGACAATAACTTCTGTTAGAAAGGTACAATCTAAATCTTTACTTTTATAGAAGTTCTAGTGAATACTTCATTGTTAATGTTTAAACTAAATGACTTTTCCATCAGAGGGTTCAACACATTGCCATCTGTAGTTACGAAAACTGTGTTTGAAAACCTTCAGCAAGTCATTGCAGCTCTTTCAGTGCAAAAGAAACACAAGATTGATCTCATTAAACAGTCTAAATAACTTTCTGATGCAAAAATTAAGCCAGGTCAAATGCCAAACAGAACTTTTGCTTTAGAATGTAGTTGTTATCTTCTAAATGAACTCTATTGTAACTGATGGCTTGATTCTTTAATATTGACAGTAATTTCAACTTTTAATGATGCTTGAGCCATTTTGCATGAGGAAAATCTGTGAATATTAACTTCATGAAATCAAAGAATAAAACTCAATTAATCAAGACAGTTTGTAGAAAATTTCTCAAGAAATTATGATTTTGGTGACTTTTAGAATGAACTTAACTCTTCAGCGTATATTCATTAAAGCAATGTTTGTTATAAATCATGTCATTTAGCAATCTGCTCCCGCTAAGAACTGAAACATCTCTAGTTCCGCACTCAAGATCTTCTAGCTCATTAAACCCCATTACAGTCCAAATTAACAGCATATTAACCTCCAAAAGCATCCTGCCAAATGTAGTACCCAGTTTCTCATCCATGTTTTATGAAAACAGACCTCAGTATGGCTCATTTGTGGCTTCTTTGAATAACTGCAACTTCATGAAAAGTAGGCTTTTGAAACTAAAGAGTATTAAAGGAGAACACCATAGTAACGACTTTGGCTTTCATTCTTACAAAGGACAGGGTGGTGCAAAGGTCATTTATTTAAGGGCAGTATGTTACCCCCCACCCCAACACACACATACACACACACACACACACACACACACACACACACACACACACACACACACACACACACACACACTCGCCCCAAAATGTGCAGTATCTTCTAAATTGGATGAAACTGGACAATAAACTGTCAAACTAGAGTTATAAAAAGTGAAGGTGAAGGATAGAATTCTGTAGTCATGTTTTCTCCATGTTAACGTTTGGTTTGTGGTGTTTTTTAACTGTTGATTAATCTGTTCGTCAAGCTCTTTTGTGAAAGGCTTTAAAACCACAGGAGGGTCTAAAAGGAGCACTGGGACCTACATCTGTGTTATAAAAGTCACATTAGTGTACAAGATTCCATTAAAAGCTTAGGGTTCAGGGAAATAAAAGCTCATTACATCATCATAAAAAAAAGACTCTCCAGAGATAGTTTAGTGAGATCAGATACTTAGATGCCAGCAACATTATTTAGAGTCGTCACCACGTTTGTTGCTGTTTTCCAGTTGTTCTTGTGGTGGTTTTTGGGATCTGCTGGGCCCCGTTTCACACCGACCGCCTCATGTGGAGTTTTATCAGCGACTGGACAGACAGCCATCTGGAGATCTTTGAATATGTGCACATCATCTCTGGTGTATTTTTCTACCTCAGCTCAGCAGTCAACCCCATCCTTTACAACCTCATGTCCACACGCTTTAGAGAAATGTTCAAGGAAGTGATGTGCCATCGGCAACACCACATCACCCCAAGAAAACACTCATTCAGTGTGACCCGGGTGACGCTTCGCAGCACCCTGAGCGATGTGCCGCTTAGCAACGGAGCCATTGTCGTGGAAGCTGAGACAGAGGATGGAGAGGGGAGGATGAAAGACAAGACAACTTTCTCATGTCAAAAGCAGCTATGAGGGAGGCGCACTCTGTTCAACATGACCTTTTATGTTGACAAGGGTTGGCTTATTCTGAGCCCGTGCGTCCATCTTCTGTCAACAGCAGCCACTTTGCACAGTTAGATCAACAACATACTGTCTGGATACAACATTGTTAAAAAACGCATGCATACACTCAAACACAAAATTCATCTGAAGTTGTTGAATTTAAATGTTATTGTTCCAAACTAACGTTTAACTCAATCTGATAAGCTTTAAAAATCCAAGTTCAATGAGAAACCGTTTTTACTTGAAAACAATATTCTGTGACTCTTCAAAAAACAGTAAAAATGCTCAAAAATGATGGCACTCGGGAGCTTTCTGATCAGAAAACGGCTGGCAGTGAATGAGTTAATCGTTGGCTAGCTTACAAACATTAGCTTACATTCTCCTTACAGCGGCTCACCGATGTAAACATGTTGCCAACTTTGCCAGAATTCGTCCAACTGGATTTATAACATTCTGTGATAAACAGCTTTGACTGGAGCTGATGTAAAAAAAAAAAAACATAAAAAAGTCTGGATGCCTACCATATTTTTCCGTGGGTTGGGTTATCGTGTTCAGCTGCCCAGATATCTCATTACGGCGAAGCTCATCATGCTAAATAAATTACAATTTTCATGGGCATAATCCTATATTAGAACAATACTGTTATTATAAATAATTATCTTGCATCTCGCTATAGTGGACAGTAACACATGTCCTCCATGGGGAAATATAGGATTATAAATACTAAATAAGAAAATGAGGAGATGGTGTCCTCAGTTCTCTTGATCCTGAGAAAACAAATTTTCTTGTTAATGAAGTAGAGCAAAGAATTGATTCAAAAACTTGAAAGACAAAGTTATAGAAAAAAATCAACAAAATCTAATCTATTTTTTTAACTGAACTATCTGCTGGCTTTACTATGTGATTATTAAACAAAGAGCAGTACAAAAGAAATAACAATGGCCTTTGCCACTAGACATGTACAGCAATGGATATAGGAGGATCTTTGTTGACATCTTTTTTCATCTTTGTGCACACGCGCAAGTGGCTGGGTGGCAAAAGCAAACTGCTATCAATAAGCAACTTACACTTTTAAGAGAGTTTACGAACGAAATCCCCGATTTATAAACACTTCAGAGCAGGTTTAGAGAGAAGCTTAAAGTCTGTATTGAAGAGAAATTTTAAGTTATTAAAAGCCAGAGGTGTGGACTCGAGTCACATGACTCGGACTCGAGTAATTATTTTAATGACTTCTGACTTGACTTAATAAAATCTATAAAGACTTACAATTTGGCTCGGACTTGAAAGCCAATGACTTGCGACTTGAATCGACTTGCATCTGTTGACTTGATGATGACTTGAGCATATATGATATTTTAGCACAAAAGTGGCACGACATGGACAAAAATCATAAATCATTCTTCGTTCTGGGTTTGATCTTGCACTGCTAAAAGCAACAGCACTTTGTTTATCTGCTTGTTTGAGCAAATGAATGAAGCTTCAACCCTCCCACTGTCTTTATGGGTGACCCTGCGAGGAAAGTTGATCATTGAGCAGGATTGATGGTTTTTCCCTTGAGGTCCACATGGCAGGGGTGAGGTGGTGCTCACTCCTCATCCCTGCCACATGGACCCAAGGGATAAACTATCAACCCTGCTCAATGGTCAACTTTCCTCGCGGGGTCAAACCCATTAAGACAGTGGGAGGGTTAAGAAGCTTTATTTCTGGAATTTATTTATTATCATTGTCATTAAATTGAAGTTTGACAGATGACTTGATTATGACTTGACAATTCAAAGTTAAGGACTTGAACTTGACTTGGACTTCCACATCATTGACTTTGCACTCGACTTGGACTTGGTTGTCTTTGACTTGGACTTGACTCGAGACTTGACTGGAAAGACTTGTGACTTGCTTGTGACTTGCAAAGCAGTGACTTGGTCACAGAGGTGGAAAGTAACAAATTACATTTACTCACTTTACTGTAATTGAGCTGATTTTTTGTATATTTATACTTTTTAAGTCGTTTTTAAAATCTGTACTTTTACTTTTACTGTACTTGAGTGTGTTTTTAAAAATGAATTGTAATTCGCTACATTTTAAATCATATCCATTACTGAGTAAAAATAAATCATAGGCTTAATAAATTAAAAATATTTCGTGTAGCAGCATCAGAACAGAAATCTGAAATGTTTGAATTTAGGTTATGTGACAGGTTAGAGCACAGTCTCATGTTAGAGTTTTTCATGAAAACATTGAGATCCCTCACATGCTGATGGCATCTAAAAATTAACTTTTTTTTCTTTTTTCTAAATAAAGAAAAATTTTAATCACAATTGAAACGTACAAGCCTAGAAAAACCTCGTCCAATCAATGTGCACGTCCTGTTCTCACTGACTGGATAGAAATCCCTCCATCAAACTGTGTGTGTGTGTGTGTGTGTGTGTGTGTGTGTGTGTGTGTGTGTGTGTGTGTGTGTGTGTGTGTGTGTGTGTGTGTGTGTGCGTGCGCTCGCACACGAGTGTGTTGTGAACTGGTGTTGTGGTTTTGCACTGATGTAACCATCTTTGTGCCGACAAAAATGTAACTAAGTAACTTTTACCTTGAGTACATTTTATTTATGATACTTTTTACTCTTACTTGAGTAAAAATTTAGGCAAGTACTTTTACTTGTGCTTGAGTAAAAAATTATCAAAGTATTGGTACTCGTACTTAAGTAGGAAATTTTAGTACTCTTTCCACCTTTGCTTGGTCGGTCACACCTGTTTTAAAAGCCCATATAAGCTCTGGGATGACAGAAAACATCGGCCCAATTTGCCGGTGTTTTTTCACAAATCTGCTGGGGAGACATTTATTCCTATTCAACAGAAAGCCCTGGACCAATCACTCATGAAACATTAAAGACTTTCAAACGTCTGGAGGCCTACGACTATTTTGTTTTGAGGAAAGTTGAGCCGATCTCGTCTGAAAACAGAAACCGTGGTCATGCTAATAGAAGTAGTTAGCTTTGACGAGCAGAGCCACCGTGTTGTTTACATCTTCTGTGAGTGATGGCCAAAGAAAACGGATAATTCCTCACAGCTACTGCAAAGCTGGGTAAGTCTTCATTAATCAGTATTAATTTATTTATTTGTTTATTATAATTATGATCGCGGGTTGAGACACCTGAATCAGAACGAGAATAACTGTTGATTTAAAAATACACGAAGATGAATGTTTTTAAAAACATCTTCTCTAATTAACAAATACGTAGTCACAAGGACTTACCATGAACTAAATGAGCCTCACAAACTGAATCCAAGCTTTATTCCGAGAGTCCGGTTCGCTTCCTGCTAACTCTTTCGTATTTCACAGTCATTTCTGGAGTAAATTCCAATAAAACTTTTTATCAAGCCTCCCACGGGTCGAACTATCAACCACACAGCAAGAATGATCCATCTGCTTCGCCAAATCCTCCTCCTAACATGCTAAACAACCAAATTATAGGCTAAATGTGTTGTTTCTTGCCACCCAGGTCCCATGATGCAATGTGAGAAACATAAACAATGACGTCACAAAAGATCCTCCTTTAGCAGGTTGTTGATGAAAGTAATCCTAATACTCCATTTGAATGTTTCAAGGCCAGAAGTGGTTTGCAGTGAATTTACAACAGTGTACAAGGTCGGTAAAATTTATCTTAAAACTAAAAATGATTCAAATTCACACCAAATGTATCTTTTAAATTTTATAATGTATTCATGTTGCACAGTGATAGCTGTTGTTTATGTAGTGCAGTAAGATTTGGTAAGAAGAAGAAAAAGAAATTAATTAAATTAAACAATGTTTGATGTGACTGTGAATAACCTAAGTGTTTTATCTTTATGGCTCTTGATGCTCTTTGTATTAAATCAGTGTTTTTATTATGATGTGAAATTGTTCTTTAGAGTAAAACAAACGACTGCTGATGCTGATGTTTGCACATTTCTGTAAGCTGGTTTGTTGCTTTTTATGGTGTCTGTGGGTTCAAAGGGATAGAGACAATGACTTAGACTTAACCTGTCTTTGTGGATTTGTTGCATTAAAACTGTCCATTTGACAGAAGCTACGTGTACATTGTTAAATCAATTTGCCAACTTGTATAAAATCACATTTAAATCCTATTAATCATGTGTCTATGACTTTATTTTGTGGGAATCTCCCTTTGTGAGAACATAGGATTTAATAAGTGGGCCATGTGACAAAAAATGTAGCTAAAGCAAAACAGTTATGTTTCACAATTAACACTGAGGCATCTGATAGTTTGAAACTAAACATTTCTAGGCCCAAAGTGTAGCGGAAATCCATATTTTGTATCCTCAGGTTAACTTTGTTTTGATTTACACGGAAAAGAACAATAACATTTTCACACAAAGGTTTCTTTCACACTTAGCAGAAAAAAGGGGGAATTGGAAACTGACCTAGCCTAGTGAACTAGACCAAATTCTTGCTTTGCAAAGAATGGTCTAGGCACGCTCCATTGGAACCTCAGCAGCTCCTACCAGGACTCTGGCTAGCCAATCACAGCTCTCTAGAGGGGTTTCAAACACAAAAAGAGCTGTGATTGGTCCATAATGGTGGGCCAATCATAGTGCTCTATCTGCTTAGTGAACAAATCACAGAGCTTTATCCGCTTTATGGGCCAATCAGGGCACTCTATATGCCTGGTGGGTGGGATGATGCAACAGAGTGAAACAAGAGTATGTCACATTCATTGTCCAGTGGAATGCGGAGATCATTTGAAAGACAACGGTAGAACCCGCCCCACAACCGAGAGCCGTCAATGGAGCGTGGCCAGACTAAATAATACATTTATCTAGTCTGGCTTGCCAGGCTAAAACTGACCTACAATCATATAAATTCCAACAGACCATTTTCTAACATCTGGCTAACTCCTACATCTTTTCCCAGGAACGTAAATTTTACCAAGTGACTTGTTTGTTTCCCTCCGACCTTAAGCAATCGAAAAGACGGACATTATCAGGATTTAGCCTGGTCCATGTCAACCTGACAAGACCTGGCTCTCCCCCAAGGTTTGAATGCTCGTAAAACCTTCTCAAGGGTCGTTCTGGAAGATTCCAGGATCTTGCTTTTATCAAAACCCTGGTATTTTTCTGTTTATCTATAATTAAAGAAGGTGTTTAGGTTGTTTACCCTTAAAATAAAAATCTTATCAGCCACAGACCTAAACTGTTTGTTTTGTGTTTTCTTTCATGTTAAACTTCTGCCATTGTGTTTCACCAGTTCAAAACCGATCACACCAAGTACAATTCAGAAGCAGTAGAATTGATTTTGAAAAAAAAAATCCAAGTAGAGTGAACAAGGGAACCTGAATTGGAATGTTTATTATGTGAAGTGCCTTGAGACGACTCTTGTCGTGATTTGGCGCTATATAAATAAAATTGAATTTAATTTAATTGAACCATGCTAAAAGTGATTTAGTCAAGCTTAAGACCTGCTCCGTTCTCAATGCGATCGATAAGATTTTTTCAACAATGAGAACGGAGCAGGGGGCTCCCACATGTCCACAGGGGACACACCCGGTGGGATATATGTTGGATTCCTGGAAGGAGTTTAATTATAGATTCACTAGGATAAATACAATAAAGTTTATCTCTCACCAAATAGAATATTTACTAAGAAATCACAATGTAACCATAGAAACACTACTTGGTGTATATGTTGTGTGTGTGGATGTGTGTGCCTGAGTGGGTGGGCTGGTGTTGGTGTATGCGTGTGTCTGCTCTGTCTTCTCGATCCCCAGTGAGTCGTGGTGGATGGCTGCTTATACTGAGCCAGGATCCTCTGGAGGTTTCTTCCTGTTAAAAGGGAGTTTTCCTCTCCACTGTTGCTAAATGCTTGCTTGGTATGAGGATTGCTGTTAAGTCATTGAAACTAGTCAGTGACTTGATGCAATGTGCTGGGTTCCTTATATAGGAAACGTTTTCTGCCTTGAGACGACTCTTGTCATGATTTGGCGCTATATAAATAAACTTGAATTGATTTGAATTAATAAATTATTTCACCGGGGTTGTTGTGTTTGGTTGGGCATGAAGTTGTCCTGATAAAACTTTATTCAATGCTGAAACGTCGCTTAATGTGTTTGTTTGGGCAGTTGGGAAACAGCCAATAATAAACATGCCTCTTATTCTCGACAGAGAGATTTGATTTTACGTTAGTGATGTTAAGCCTTGAGAGCGCAACAGAGAGCATATTTCCACAAAGTTCAGTAATGTGTCTTTAAGATAATAATTATCACAAAGGGCTGCTAGTGGCTTCAAGATCTCTAACGTGTCATTATTAAAAGTGTGTCACTGACATTACTGAACACAACTCAGCCTATACCGATTTACTTCACTTGTGTGAAATACTGCACTGTCAAAACAATGTGCAAAGAAAAACTCTCAGACCAAACATTTCATAAATGTCCCTTACATTGTTTCTCGTAGCTTCCTAAAGCATTTTAATAATTTTTTAAGTGAAACAAGAATTGATTGAAACTCTGTATTTGACTGGGGGAGCTTTTACTGCTGCATAAGTATTCAGTTTTATATCATTTAATGAACGAGGCCTTCTTTTGTGGATAGCTGCTGTCTAATCAATCAATAAAACACACTCCTAAAGTGCAGACTCTCAGTTTTAACGCACATCTAGATGTGCAAAGGTTAAGCAGATAAAAGGACCAGAACTGATCTGATGAAGCATTTTGGCAGTTGCTATGAAACCACAAGAGCAAAAACAGACCATTCCTGTGCCGCAACAGCAAAACAAATCCATGAAGCAGACAGCAGGAACATTGAAGCTGATCAGATCAGTGAAACAACAATGTATGTTCTTAGAATGAAAGAAAGAACAACACACAGGATACGGAAGAAAACAACAATGGTCACACAATGTTTAAATGACAAAGAAAAGCCTTTTTAATAACACTAAACCAAAAGAAGACATGTTCCAAGTAGATGAATGTTATTCCAGCTCCAGCAGCAGGCTTTAGAAGAGAAAATCTGACTCACCAAATAAGAAAAAAATATTTACGTTGTTTTCTCATGCTAGTCATTTTCATGTAAATGCAGAAAAGTTGAGTATAAAGTGTGTAAATAAAAAGACACCAAAATAAATCCCTTATCTGACTTTCAGTCTGTCTCTCTCGTCCAAAAGGCTCACCGAGCTGATGGGTGAATCTGCAGCGAAAGCCTGAAAAAATAACCACTAAGAAACCCCAAATATTGATTTAAGTGTTTTTGGGAAGTGCTGCGTATTCGAAGGTGAAAAGAAAATCAAAGCAAAGAGACGCCACACACGACAATGTCGTCCTCTAAAATCTTAATGTTCACATGTGGAGCCAGAGCACTGAGAGCACAAACCTGCTGTGAAATAGTGAGCAGATAGCAAACCAGTTTATTTAAGTCATTTGTTTCTGTGTGAAATGCAAAGAAATGGGTG